ACACCCATCTATATTAACAATTCACCTTTGTGGGCCCTCTTTTACAGGCCTACTCGTACGTTGGTTTCGGCACACCTCAACTAATTTTGCTTCTCCTTCTACATCCCATTACATATTAGATAAATTCCGAGCACAAATATATATATATATATATATATATATATATATATATGTGTGTCTCCTGCCTAGTTCAGCTCTGTGTAGGCAGGCTTTATAGTTGAAAGGGTTACATTTCTGTTTAGATGAATCATAAATCTAACAACCTTGTACATTGCAAGTACATAACGTAAATTAATTCTGCACACAAACCTATCCTTCCACACCCTTTATTAGAGATCCTACCTAGTAATGTCCCCTAGATAACATTTAGATCAATGATTTTTACATGCCTTGACCATGCTGCTTACACAAGCTTTTCTTGCTGTTAGTTATTTGATGTCAATATTTGATTGGTAATTATTGATACTCCTCCTAGACCTCCTCTTTATACATCAGACATTTTCAGAACTAACGCCTTTATATGGTCTCTCAAGAGTGTTACCAAGTACTTGAGGTAAGGTATGATCTCGATAGAATTATAAGTCCATGGCAGTAGAGGTCTGGTGATCACCTAGGAGCAGTACCAACAATAGTGAAAAGTCCAGTGGGAAGATCTATACTTAGAGGACAAATGACAGAAATACATTTGTTTGAATAGATAAAGGATTACAAACCATGATATGGTATAAGTAGATTCTTTTAAAGGTGGAATGAATAGGCATTTTACAGACAATATTATTTTATGAGTACAGTTTTCTGCATTTTGACAAAGGATAATCCAATATGTGATAACGTGATTTAAAAATTTTTTTAAACAGGCAGGTGAAGGGGCAGCACTGTCCTTTATATACACTTTATATAAGATAACAAAAAAATATTATTCTGAATTAAAAGTAAAGTCATACTAGGCAAAATTGATTGTTTTTTTGTACCTTGAAAATTAGTTCTTGAGCTTTGCCCCTAAAAAAAAATCACCCCAAGCATAAACAAATAATGTTATATACCACCAGGTACGATACTGCTAACAAAGATGTACTATATATCACTCAGCCCAGAAACCCTCCCCTTTGAACATCTTAAACTGTGAACTATGATGCGTCGTTACCAAATGTCTGTATCACGGTGTATAATGTATGTATCATCCTTGTTCTGAGAAAAATAAAGAATGAAAAAAACAAAAATAATCTCAAGAAAGCCCTTTAGATATACGATTATTTTCAATCCAGCAAATTCTCTTTTTCTAGTCCCGATCTATAAACTCAGTCATCAACCTACTTACTAGCTGATCACTGTCCAATCAGATGCACATTAAACAGGAGCATTGAGGACATGGTTATACCATGTATGACATTAATCAAATGTTGTTCATTGTGAATACGTTTCATACTAGTAGCGAAAAGCATTAGCAAGTTAAATAAGGTATATTTTAATAAACTCTAAATCATATCTATATTTTACTAGGTGCTTACAGTCACAAATCATTTCTTTACAACAGCAGATTACCACATAATATTACCTTCCATTACTACTAAGGACCTTCCTTGAGATATAAATTCCTCTGCTGATGCTCCATCTTCAATAACTTCTTCCCCACTTTCATGACAACACTAATGTCTTCATATTCTTCTGTCTTGCAAATCCCCAATGTCTTTATGCCCCACTGTCTTGATAACCCCAATGTCTCTAGCTCCCATTGTCATGAGAACTTCAATACCTGTGATTCCCCAATGTCATAAGATTCTCAAATCTTGGGGGTCAGGGCCTAACCAGCGTGGCAGCCAGACGTGCTTTAAAATGTGTTTCTCACACAAATCTTGTAAAACACGATTTTATGGTTGGACTACATCCTCAGATGATATCCAAACAACTGGCACCCTGATTCTGTCTGCTGTGGAGTTCTCTTGTGCAAGTTTGAAGCCTCAGAAAGAGTCACAGACTCAGACTTTCAAAGCTACTGATCTGTTTCCATCACCCTCCCCCGCCCCCCAGACTGGTGGGGGTAATCAGCAGAAGCCAGTAAAGTCAAGCAATGAGTGCATCAGAGCAGATGAAGGTGTTTGTTACCTGGAGAATACTCCCAGAAGGCCAGAAACTCCTGTCTCAGGCTGACTGCTATAATGTCCAGCAGTGGGATTCAGATGCAAATAAAGAGATGAGCTGATTAAAGGAGTTGCAGGGGCTCATGGATTACTCTGTTTCTCGATGGACAATATTGACAAAGAAGTCTTGGATGCTGCTGGCCCTAACCTCAAAGTGGCTTTTACCACTTATGTGTGGATGAAATAAAAAAAGTGAGGAATTTGTGTGAGCAACACACCAAATGTTTCAACTGAAGCTACAGCAGAGCTTTCTGTAGCTTTGCTGTTGACTACTTGCTGCCGCCTCCCAGAAGCTTGAGAAGAGGTTAAAAATGGAGGATGGAAGACTTAGTATCCAATATGGCTGTGTGAAGCAGGCCTTTCTAATAGCACTGTAGGAATCATCAGCTTGGGCTGAATTGGATTTCGCCATGTTCTATTTGGTGTGAAAAAGTTGATATACACAGATTTCCAGCCCATGCCTGAAAATGCCAAGGAGATAAATGCTGAATATGTCTCTAATGAGAAGCTTGCAGAGGATTCAGGTTTTTTTCATTGTGAATTGCTATCTAACCCCTGAGACTGAAGGGCTCTGCATTAAAGACTTCTTTCAGAGAATGAAAAAGACAGCTATACTCATTAACACAAGTCAGGGTCCTGTAGTAAACCAAGAAGATCTTTATGATGCCTTGACAAGTGGGCAGCTTGCGGCTGCTGGCCTGGATGTTACAACTCCTGAACCTCTTCCGACACATCATCCCCTACTCAGCATGAAAAACTGTGTGATTTTACCTCATATTGGAAGTGCCACGCTCAACGCAAGAAACGCAATGTCCGTCCTGACCATAAATAATCTGCTGAAAGGCCTAGCCAGAGAGCCAATGCCCGGTGGAGTAAAACTATAAGAATGCCAGGATGTTGTCAGGACAAACTTCCATCCCTTGAAAATTATTTTCCAAGACGTTCTGCACTACATCATGCTCTTAATTAAACGTATTGGCATTAAAAAATATATAAAAATAAATAAAAAAAAAGATTCTCAAATCTTTTTCTCTCACTGCTGTGAGAACCCCAACAACTTTGCACCCCATTCTTATTAGAACCCCAAACATTTACCCTTACACACAAATGTCACTTTTACTTAGGATATCATTGTTGGAATACGTTTTACTAAGTGTACAAAAACAGCAGTGAATAGGCGCTCACTAAAATACTAGGGTGAAAGGCAGCAGTAAACCAACAAGTATTCCTAATCTTTGCTAAGTTATAGAAGTGTGAAAGAAAGAGTTAGGGAAACCGCGCCAAAAGGGTAAATTATATTCTACAAATTCATGCAAATACATACACTACATGAGCTCCACTGATGTATGGTTTTATGATGACCTCAAAAAAATTAGATAGGAACAGGTGATAGTACAGTATGTCAGGTAAATATTTAAACAATTTGTATCCTAATAAAATGGTAACTCACACTTTCTTGAGCTGCTAAGAGCTCTGCTGTTTAGCACATGGATGGTGCAATCCCCGTCTCCGGATATGTAGAAGTTTCTAGTACTGGTCATCCAATTCTCAGTGGTTGGATATATAAGAGAAGTAGTGAAGAAAAAAAAAAGAACCAATGGCACTGTATTTTGTAAATAATATGAAGTATATAGAAGGTAGGTATCCTACTTATAGTTTTAAGAGCAATAACTTGCTCTGGTGGTGTGCACTTAAGGTGGTACAATTCCCACCTGGAATGTGCAGGAAGCAGAAGCAATAGAGCAGCAGCAGGATTTCAATTGCATAATTTAAATAAAGGTAATTTTGGCAATTAACTTTATTATTAAAAAGTAAATATATAATTAAAACAAACTTGTAATAAACTGGAAAAGTGCTCCAGTCCTCACTTAATGCGTTTCGCCCTGGTTTGGGCTTCTTCAGAAGTGTAGATGCTAGAGGAAACTATACGGTAGTAGGTATGTGTCACGTCACTTCCGGGCAACACACGCGACACTGAATGGAAGCAGGAAGCAGAAACAACACTCCGGACCAGCACTAATGCATCATCTACTTATATATACACACACAAATAGCTTAAAGGAACACTGTAGCTATAGTTAGGAATGCTACATTTTTTCATCATATTTTATAGTATTTTTATAGTAAATTATATGATATGATGAAAATAATGGTATCTTTTTAGAAAGACCATTTAATTGCGAGACAAACGGTATATAATTTGTGTGGGTATAGTAAATTAGTAAGAGGAAAATTACAGCTAAACACAAACACTGCAGAAATGTAAAAATTGCCTTGGTATTTAACGGTAAGAAAATTTAAAAGTAGTCTGGTTACTAAGGGGTTAAAAGTGTATCTAAAAATATAAAATATTTAAAAAAACTTATCCCAAAATATTAAATCAGGGCTAGAGTGTCAAGAACATTAACCCCTTAAGGACACATGAAGTGTGACATGTCATGATTCCCTTTTATTCCAGAAGTTTGGTCCTTAAGGGGTTAAAGATTAAAGCAAATGCTCATAAGATTTACTCTACAAATGTTTATTGTATTATGGAAATATTATACACAACAATCAAGAATCAATCATTTTTGTAAAGTTATTTTTTTTTTATTGAACAAGAAAATGTATTTGTTCTCATTATTCTGTCAGCTACTGTTACAATTGTTCATTGCATTTTTAAACAAAACTACAGCATTACCCCATACAGTAGATTTAATGCACAAATTCCAACAGAAGAACTTCAAATACAACTAAAGGGAGCAAATCTCAAAAGAGGAACAAACAGCAGAAACACTCCTACAGCCTCTCAATGGTGATTGCCGCACTTTTCAAATTTCAACCTATAGTTAATATTACTATACAAGACCCATAGAGCTACAGTTACTCTGTAGTATCTGTCATGGTTGAATCTGTAGCCTGTATCCTATTTGTGGTTCCACACACTAACACTGTCTTGATTCTTTTGTTAGTCTTCATGATTACTATGGGACTGAGGGCAGCATACAGGGTACCAAAGAAAACACGGGCATCCGAAATAGCAGGAGATACTCTCGAGACTGTTAAGGTATAAATCCAAATACAACTATCTAGTCCAAAGAGTGCCACATAAATGGTGACCAGAAGCACTACGGCTTGGGAAGCCTTGTATTCAACACTCTTCCCTGGGTTTTTGTCAGAACTGCGCATACCCTGGACTTGTTTTCCATGTCTATGTAATGTGAATACAATGTAGCAACTGGCCAGTGTCATGGAACCTACAAAAAAGAAATCACGAAGGGCTATAGCAATTCCATTAGCAACATAGGATTCAAAAGTCATAAAATCATGGTTGCAGAACTCTAAATGCAATGTATACTTAGAAGTGGTGTAATTACCTATGGCACGGACATGTAACAAGCATGATGGGTAAATTGCTATATTGATACACCACAGAAATAGCATTATCCATGGTAAGTTGCGTGGGATCTTTTGCTTGAAAGAAAGCCATGTTTTTGATGGTGGGGCTAGTATGATACATTGATTGCAGCTCAGCAAGCTTGTGACACAAATTGTCATACCCCGACAGATTCTATACATAAAAGAAAATATTTTGCATTCAATATCGTTGAAAATGTTTCGTATCCCTATGGAATGAATGGCCTGCGGAAGACCTTTTGAGATGATGACTAACAGATTCACCAATGCAAGCATGGACAAGATGGCATTGGAAGGCAGTAACTTTTTCTCAGTGCTTCTAATGTGGACAAAGATGGTCAGAATGATTACATTACTGGGAACTCCAATGGTGATTAAGGAGAAAAATCCAACTGCCTTGAAAATCAGCCGAGTTTCTAATTCCATTCCTAAAAATGCAAAGAGAAAGAAAAATATGTAATCACATCTTATGCAACAGCGGATGAAATTCCCTACCCCCTTATTATTATTTTGTTCCCTTTCCCCTTTTTTATTATAATTTTTATTCTTAATTATATTGTTTTCCATTGTTATTTTTCTGTTCATTTTGTTAATATGTTTTTCAAAAATTGTTTAATAAAAATACTTTGAAAAAAAAATTCCTACTTTTCAGTTTTGCTGTACCATCCATAAAATTGAAATCACTTTCCCATACTTTATTATTTTTGATCAGAAAATAAGTGTCTAATGCCTGTTTTTGTATAATGTATTTATAAATATTCTTGCAGGGTGATACACTAAAGTTAGAATTGCTGTGAATTCAAAGTGAATTTAAAATATGTATCAAAATAGCCAGATTAGAAGAGTTCTCCAAGTTGATTCTGTCTTTAGTTTGGCTATTTTGGCCTTAAATTTGAAATTAATTTCAAATTCCCTCTAAGCGTTGGTTAACATTTTTAAGTTCCCAGCATTGATATTTGCAATAATTGCAACTCCCCTAAATGTCTTTGTCACCAACATTTTTGTAAAAATGTTAAAGGATATCTGAAAATGAAAAGTGAATTTAAAATTTAAGGCCAAAATATCCAAACTGGAAACATTCTGTAAGTCAGCTATGCCTCAATGTGGCTTCTTTTGTCTTAAAATTAAAGTCCACTTTAGTGAAAATTTTGAATAACCTTGCATATGTGCACATCTGGAGCTTCACACAAGTATTTCTATAAATAGTCTTTTAAACTGCACTATATGAATGCTTAAAGGGACACTATAGTCACCAGAACAACTACAGCTTAATGTAGTTGTTCTGGTGAGTATAATAGCTCCCTTCAGGCATTTTCATATAAACACTGTTTTTTTGTTTTTTTTAAATTCTTTATTTTTGCAGTGCATGCGTTTACATACAGATTTGCGACACCACAACAGTATTGGCAAGTGATTCAAACATCAAACATTGTGTAACTTTGACATGGTATGTGGAGTAACTGCACATTTTTTAAATAATATACAACAGATTAATGGTACATGCTGGGTGTAGTCAGGGCATGAAAGTGAGTAACAAATTTGTATACTGTGCTTATCACCCAGGCAATGCGATAAAGTAAACATGCTATATACGATGTTGGCATGGTGAAGAACATGACAAACTTATACTGCACATTTACGTATATAGACAGGATAGTATTATATTTGCCTGAGGGTACTTAAGTTGGGTTAGTAGTTTCAACAGAGGCATTAAAAATAAAATAAAATAAAATAAAAAATAATGCAATCAACGTTGTAGCATGCTGGTAAAATACAACTGGCCGATACCCTGGCTACACCGGGACCGGTGTGAGACTACTTATGGCATTTAGCCTATGCCGCTCAGAGTCCAAGTGTAGTGAGGTCGCCTGGTACCAGACTCTGTCTCCCCCTCCTGCAAGGTCAACGCTTGTATAGTATAGGCAGCTGAGGTCTTAAATGCAACAATAATTAAAATAAAAATAGGCACTTGTATAAATGTCTAAGTCTGTTGCTGTAGCCCTTGGAACAACCTGCCAGGGGTGGGAGAGTCATCTGCCCATCTGCAGGGTCAGCCAATTCCCCGCTGGAGCCAAACTAAGTTCTGCCATGAGAGTCCCGGTGTCAGGCCCATCATCCCGCTGGAGTGGGAGCAGGTAAGGTTAAAGTGGAATTCCGGAAAGGTGTTCGACGTCTGTCTGAGCTTTGCTTGCGGCAGCAGTGACTTACTTGGTTTGTGGTGCATAGTGTTCATATTGCGCTTTATTGGGTCACCTACCCTCCGCTTCACCTTGGGTCTCCTGCTTCGTTGTGCCATTGTCGGGTGATGGGTTACACCTGCAGCTTGGGAGGCTTCACTGCACCATTGTCACGCAGCCGGCGATCTGCTTGGTGTGGCGGGTCCCACGCATGTTTGAAGCTTTGTCCCCCTCTGTGGCTCCTTCTTCCATGCTGCCTTGTGCTGGCTCCCAGATGGGGGGCGCCGCGCACAGTTCCACCATTTCGGAGCCTGCTTCACCGCCGTGTATGCAGTTTTCCTGGGTTCCCGGCCGGGTTGCACAGACTGCACTCTGAGTGGGTATGTACCCATCGGTATTGTGGCTTGCATTGCGTGAGCACTTAGCCGCTGTGGGGTGGCCTGAGGTAGTCTGCTTTCAAGCTTCTGCCAGAAATCTTCGAAAATTTTCTCCAGCCGAGTCATGGTGGTGGGTGCTGTATCTGTGAGGCTGGTGGAGCGCATTTTAGGCCAGTTGTTGTGCTGCGTACTCTGTCTTGAGATGACTCCCCGGGTTCCCATTAAACCAGGGCATCTGCTCAGGGGGGGACCGGGATAACCCCCACCGGTCCAGAGGTGGGGGAACAGGGGTTTTGTCTCCGTTTATCAGCCATGGGTGTCAGCGGGGGAGCAGCCGTCTCCCTCATGCTGACCACGCTTGTAGGCCCCGCAGGACGAGGAGGCGAGTTTCACTGGAAGTGTCGCTTGTGAGGCATCATTGTGTGCCCCTCTTTGTCACCTTCCTCCTGGTGGCCTTTTTGAGCCGATTAATTCTCGTTTTGACGGCTGTTTTGTACTTTTTCCGTGCTGCAGAGCAGGAGCTGTATAGTTTAGCTTCCTCTCCTCTCAGAGGTCAGGCCCCTAGAGACAACTCCAAGTGGCCACTCCTCAGATGGCCACTGGATGGGCTTCCTGGCTCAGGGCTGCACAGTAAGCAACCCTGCTGTTCAGTGTCCCCACGTTCTGCACGGAGACGCTGAATTTTCCTCATAGAGATGCATTGATTCAATGAATATCTATGAGGAGTTCCTGATTGGCCAAAATGACATTTGGCCCCGATTTTAGATTTTTTCCTATAGGGGATCAGCCATTTTGATGATGTCCCAAAGTGGGTGGAGCCAGCTCCCGCAGACCCACCTGGCGCTGAAAATAAGGTGAGTTTTAAACTTTTATAGGGGGTCTAAGGAGGGGCAAGCCACCTATATGCGTTTAGCAACATAGGGCCAGGAATACATGTTTGGGTTACTGACCCTATAGTGATCCTTTAAGCACAGAAATACAGTGCAGGCATGCGGATGTGTATTTTCTTGAACAAAACTTTTTTTATTAAAATTATTATTACTGTGCAACCTCTGTACTTATTTTTGCATGTGTCTGCCTTCTACTCTTTAGCTTTTAACCCCTTAAGGACACATAACATGTGTGACATGTCATGATTCCCTTTTATTCCAGAAGTTTGGTCCTTAAGGAGTTAAAGGCAGGCAGAATAAGGGCTGAATTAAAAATGTCCTTTTCTTAGGACTGTAACTTATCTTAAAGTAAGTGCTTATTAATGGAACGTCATATGCAAAGTGGTATTTAGTCATCTATTTGATATATACATAAAGATTGCTTTGAATTTATCCTGCTAATAATTTACATATATGTATCAATAAACCTAATCAAATTACATTTGTAAAAATAAAAAATAAAAAATTTACCTATTAGAACACAAGTAGTGCAGGGAGAGTATGTGCTTAAACCAAATGCAAATGTAAACAAAATGCATGCCAATATTGCACTCTTTATGTCAGGGGACATAAAGCAACCAACAGGTACTAAATAAGGAATATTGAAAACTACAGCTGTATTGATACATGTGGAATATTGTAGTAGAACAATGGGAAACATGAAAATAAACTGTCATCTTAGTTTAATCTTTACTGAAAATAAAATCTTACCTGTAATGTAGCTTCATTGTATATTGTTTAGTAATGAATATATATAGGCTAATAACTTTAGAGACTCTCTACTGGTACGGTCTTTCTAAGTGCAGGAAGCCATCTCTAAAGTCCTCTTTAGTTGAAATATAGCTTATCAAAGCAAAACCCATACAGGTAATCAAGATCTGGTATATATTTGTGTATACTGATGTCATGTACAAGTTCCAGGAATCACAAAAATGTGGTCTGGAACTTTGGACCTTCAAATTGGGTTTCAATTGGACCTTTCAAATTTTGCATGGTCCAAGCTGTTGATATCTGTTATAGGAAAACTTTCATCCCTAAGTTTTCCCAACAAATGTGATTAATTTTATCTATTTCAACATTGAATAGCAGAGTGGAAATCCCTGTAATCTACAAAATGTTTTTTGACAGGCATCTTTACTAATATATGTGGGCATTATGACTATATGCATTCATTATCTTAACATTTGCATGACTTTTTCACATTCACAAAATATCATGAGGTTTCTTATAATGCGCATGCGCATTCAGCCAGTCCATAGGAAGGCATTCTCAATTTTCTCCTATGGACGCAAGCATCTTCTCACTGTGAAAATCACAGTGAGAAGCGCGGAAGCGCCTCTAGCGGCTGTCAATGAGACAGCCACTAGAGGCTGGATTTACCCTAAGGTAAACATAGCAGTTTCTCTGACTATATCATTATCTTTTTCTATCACTCAGGCAGCTTGTTTGAAAACTGTCTAAAAATCTTTTGTTTTGTTTAGACTTGGACTTATCATTTTAATGCAGTTATCATTTAGGCGACGTTTGTTACTATTAATGGGTTAACTGCTGCCTGTGTCCTTCATAGCTAAACGACTAATTTTTGTTCCGCTGTTGCTATACTATAATATACTGCTTTAGATATTTTTCTGCTAAACGGAGTCAGCTTGGCAACCCCTTATCTCATATGTTACTGCTTGACAGTGACCTCTAATTTATGATCCACACGCTGCTACACTCTAGGCAGCTTTCCTGATATTTAACTAGCTAATCGCCGTCTGTCAGCAGCGTATTTCAGCTGAACACTGCTGACAGCACTGGTTTGGCAGTCTTCGATTCTCTCCCCCCTTTTGTTACAGTTATTAGTGATACATAAAAAGTATCACTTGTATAACTTGTAACACCTTTACAGTTAATATTAGTAGACACTGAGTTTTACTTGCTGTATAGTCTCCACGTATTCCTG